AACCCCAGAACTAGTGGGTTTCTAGAGGAGTTTTTTATCTGTAAAAATGTGACAAAACGCAGTTAAACGCAGCAAACTAGCGTTTTTGGACTTTTTTTGACTAAAAAAAATGCAAACGCGAAAAACTAAACACTGATACAAAAACGCTAAAAACGCTGAAAAACTCAAATTTTTAACGTAACTTTACACAGCTAACGTTACCAGCGTTATTAAAACAGCCAGTGTGCATGAAGTCTTATACATTAAAGCTGAAGTCCAGCTTTTGGTACATTTTACAAGCTGACTCGAACTAACTATGTCCCTCGCTAACACGTGAGGCTGCTGGAGGTGCTGTATAAACTGTATGTAGCTAAGGCTACATACAACATACAGCACTGTGTTCTGGTGCGAGCCAAGACTTTCCTGTCTCAGTCCCGGAACACAAGAGAGTCTATCGGAGCAGTGCTCAGCATTTACGATCGTTTTAGCTGAGCAGCCTATCATTTTCTGCACTTCTTTATATGTTTCCCCTCTCCAATCAACTTTTTAATCAAGGTACGCTGTTCTTCTGAACAATGTCTGGAATGACCCATTTTCCTCAGAATTTCAGAGAGAAATGCACTGTAACCAGCATGTACAACATTTGCTGCCTTCCTTCCTTAAATAAGGGCAATAATTGCCACCTGTTTTTCAAAGAATGAATGCCTCACTAATAGAACTCCACACTGCTATTATTTTGAACATGCCCCTTTCAATTAGTGATTCAATTACACAGAATCAGCAGCATCATGTCATGACTGTTGGGTCTGTTGGATTTCTATTACTCTACTACACCTGCTAGAAAATTATTTGCCATGTAGAAATATAATTTCTACCAAAAACAGTGATTGATCAGGTTAGTGATGTCTGACTGCTATTATTTTGAACACAACTGTATATGTGTTTTATCATTTAGATCAGCAGTGAAATGGTAATAGTTTAAAGTGTACTGAAAATATTTGAAGAAATAAAATGAATATTTTAATGTGGATTCTTTTATAAAGAATTATATCCCTGTAGCCAAGGTTTCATGTTTAGATGCTGTTGTACCGAAAATTTGAAATCAATAATGCCACGAAACCCTTGGAGGAAAATATGTACACTCACCGGCCACTTTATTAGGTACACCTGTTCAATTACTTGGTAACACAAATGGCTAATCAGCCAATCACATGGTGGCAACTCAATGCATTTAGGCATCTAGACGTGGTGAAGACGAATTGCTGAGGTTCAAACCAAGCATCAGAATGGGGTAGTGTAGCCCTGAAAGGAAGAAGTGGCAAGGGAGCGCTGGCAAGCTAAGTATAGGAGGGTCAGAAAAGGCCCTTTGCAGAGACATTGTTTTACTATCAATATACAAATCCCCATTTTTCATTACTCAGTTCCCTTAATGTGTAGGTAAGGTGACAATGTCTCGTCAATGATGAATTCTTTGATGCTAAACTGTTCTACGGTCAATATACAAATCCCCATTTTTCATTACTCCTTTCCCTTAATATCTTTTGGAGGAACATTCAGGTGGAAAAGGCATTGCTTGCTGACCAAGAACAGAATACTGTTCTGTCTCCTACTTTCCGCACTATGAGCCAGAAAGAAAAAATCATGCAGTTCCTTGTGCTTTATTCTTGGGAGATGTGTTAAACATGCCTAATTTCCATTTTTAATTTGCATTTTAATTGCCTGTCTCAGTCTTAAATGAGAAGGGTAATCAGAAGAAAACTTTCTGAGTCTGGCTGGCTTGTACTGCAACATTTAAACTGTGTAGAAAGAACAAAAAAAATAATTTTCCTGTTTACTTTTTACACAGTTGTTTACCAAAGTCGAATGCGAAATGCTCTGAATGTTTTTCAAATTGGAAAAATTACATTTAATGATGGGTTAAAGGGACAGCAGATATTTAACATGAAGGTAAAGAGGACAAAGTCATGTTTAGTTAATTGTCCTTCAAATAAATAAATTAAGTTCAAGAGTTAAGTCAAGTGCATGTGTGGAGCCCACCCTAGGTGCACAGTGGGGCACGCTCTGCTACTGGGAAAGGTAGTGGAAAATGCTGGACAGGTGGTTGTGGACAAGGCTCAGCATGTCCCTCCTAACTGAAAATTATAGTGGAAGATGTACATTTACAAGTGGGTTGACTAGAAAACAGTTGTGGTGCAAGTGAACATGGTGTACATTCATCTCTAAAAGTAGAGGCCTGCTTGTGGGTTGAGTATTCCCCCGTGGCAGCCTCAGCCTTGACCCATGGCACAGGAGTAAAAGTACCTCATATGTGTAGTAGAGTAAAAGAACCTACGTCCCAGGGCAGGCCTCCTATGTAACTTGGATTTGGTGCCCAATGAGTTAATCTAGATTGTAAGCTCCAAGAAGTAGGGCCCTCCTATCTCTCTTGTATTGAACTGTATTGTTGCTGTATTGTCTCCCATTATATTGTAAAGTGCTGAGCAAACTGTTGTCGCTATATAAATCCTGTATAATAATAATAATTGGGGAAACATGCAGGGGATTAACAACAACCCTGCCCTGTCACCAACAAGTATTGTTCTCTTCCTCCAGCAATGTGAGATCATCTAAGGCACTCCTACCTCTGACTGCTAGTCTCAGGAGATTTGGAGTGAGATTTGGTGATGTCACTATTGTGGTGCTCAATATTCTCCTTGCTGGAGGGGAAGCAGTACTTGGGGACCTGCAGAGCAAGATTTTCTCTGATTCTTCTTCTTACATTCTGTGGATCTTTGATTTCTCCATTTTTCTTGAAGCTTCTTCAGCATTACCCCGCAAGTCATCAGATCATCACTCACTGGGGGGCAGTTTTGACATGAGGAAGTGGAGCCCTGCCTCTACTAAGATGCTGCCTCCCCACGGATACAGAGTACAGAAAGAGGAACTGGTAGGCTTGTAAGAAGGGACGAGAATAGGTTTGATGTAAATTCAGTAAGGGGGGTGTACTCCTTAGAAGAGGTAAACCTGTTATACTACTGGAGTGTGTATAGACCTGATCTAAGTCATAGGCTGCTACCTCTCTGATCACAATGGTGAGATAGCTCATCAGAAGATCAAATTGTGGATTGGGGGTTTGGAGCACCCAGTAAGAAATGGTTGTCTTGCTTGGAAGTTTAAATATTTATTTAACAAAAACAGCCAATATGTTTTTTGGGGGAAAGGACTTACCCTTATTCAGGGCTTGGACAACATTATGTAACTGCATGAGGAAGAAATATTCTACAGTATATAGCCTGAATTATGCATTATAAATGGACTAGGACTGAATGTCAGCAAGACCTGAAAAAAGTTAGTGCAGCCAATTGTATACCAGTATTCCTACCCTCTGAAGAACAGGGAGTCCCTTCCTCCAAAACACGGCTGTTGTTTTGTTCAATTAATTTTGAATTTTGAGTGAGATACCATTTCTTGCTGGGCTCTCCCAACCACATATACAAGACAGCACTATATTCACAATACTGGTCCTTTGGCATCTGCTTGCCTTTTTTGGGCACATCTTCTATAGTACAGGTCCTCTTTAGGACCAGCCCTTTAAGAAAACTTCTAAAAACACCACAATGTTGTCCTGAAATGATTTATTTATATACAAGAAGATAAAAAGAAAAAAGATCACAGCATAAATAAAAGGAAATTTGTCATGAAGGAAACATAGAAGCTACTGATCTCCACTTCTGAAAATGTCCTATGGATGTTATACTGATCCTTGGCTTCATTTCTTTGGGTCACAGACCCAAACCATGTATGCAGACATGGAAGTCTTGACTTTTGTGTGACCTTCCTGATCTGCATACTTGCTCCAGTTTAAGTACGATACAGGTCAAATTAGAAAGTACTAAAGATAGAACATCAGCATAAAAGCCAGGCAACTAGCATTTTAGCGAGGACAGCAATGGTAGTCTCCGTAATTTTTCTGTTGACAGATTTATAACAATGATAGAAAAGAGAAAAAGCAAGTTTGACATTCAGAGTTATACAACAATTCAGCTCCACAACAAACATAAACTGTGCTTTGCAGAAGAGGCGCAGCTACCGTGCTGCAGGGCAAGAGATGCGCCACAAAAGTCAACCTAACAGAGCAAATAAAAAAGTTTACAGGAGTCTTATCATGTTAACTGTTCCTCAACTACTGGTCCGTATGGAGCTTCACCTTCCAGTTGCTCAAGTTTTTGTCCATCAAGTTTTACAGCATAAAATCCATTTTCCCCTTATGTAACTTTTTTATTCCAGTAACTGTGCTTTTTCAAATGTCAGCAACATTTTCACTCTTGGTGAAACACAAGATAAATTTGGATGTTCCTTTAGTTTTTGCCTCATTGCATCAAAATTATTCACTTGAGAATACCAACAAAAATGGTATTAAATATGAAAAGGCATTGTCTATTTTTTAAATAGTACTGTGCTTATTTAAGTATTATTCCTTTTTATATTGAATGCCCTTCATCCACTGCACACCAGTTGAAATTTCAAATAAGGCTGACAGCTGGCAGGTCTGCATTGGTTGCTGAAACCTCTCTGGGTTTTTTATAAGTGGATACAGAGATCAGGCATGTTTCAGGAGGTGGGGTTGTGACATAAAAATAGCTGTAGGCTTAGAAGATGGTGTCACGGCCCTTTAGACTAAAGCAAATCAAAAACAAGGTTGGTCCCAATGGTGTCAAAGTGTAGCGGCATCAAAAAAAAAGAAAGGATTTTAAAGCAGTCAGTATGGTTACTTAAAAAAAAAAGTTTGCTATTCGACCAGAGTGGTCATTTAATGAATGGCTGGTATAATTTCATTCGTTGGCATCGTCTTCTTCTGGGTGATTCCCATGGTGCAGGCTGGTAATATAATTGTGCATAGCCTGCATACTGAACTATCCAATAAAACATGTCCACCTAGTTTCAATAATCCGTTTACCACACTTATTAAGGTGCAGGAAGTCAGTGATGGCCATTCAAGTTACATGGGAGCCAGCTGATCATTCGAATATATATTATTGGAGTCACGTGTTCCTTGGATTTGGCAAATCAATTACTATAGGAGGATTAACCGGCTGATAATTCACAGTACATACTGAGGAATTGACGTATGTAGTGGTCCCATCTGCCATTACTCCATAGCCTGCAAGAGATGAAACACAATATGGAGTTTAAAGGAATATCAAACAATTCCTTAGTAAAGAATAAATATTCTATTTGATAAACACAAAAAAATCAACAATTTCAATTGATGTTTATTGCTTAAATTAGCATGTATAGAATACTTTAAAATAAACATTGCAAATAATTAAGGAGGCTCCTCAAACAGCTGCCAACATCCCTATTATTGAGAATCTATACAAGTAAGATTCCCCCCAGTTCAGCTGGAATTTGTAGGCAGAAAACATCAATTTAAAAATATATCATAATCTTTATTTAATGTCATCATAAAAACTTTTTGTATTGTACTACAATGTAGTCACATAGATTAGTTGTACATATTAAAATTGTTACAGAGTTTTAAATGTTTCCAGATATTTATAGTAAATTTCCAACGCGTTTTGGAGCCTCTAGCTCCTTCTTCAGGGATAACTCTGTAGACAGTGCTGTTTTACCTCCTAAGCAGGGGTGTCAAACTGGTGGCCCTTCAGCTGTTTCAAAACTACAAGTCCCATCATGCCTCTGTCTTTGGGAGTCATGCTTGTAACTGTCAATCTTGCAATGCCTCATGGGACTTGTAGTTTGGGAACAGCTGGAGGGCTGCCAGTTTGACACCCGTGTTCTAAAGGATTTGTATTTCTGTCCATCCATCCCTACAATTTACAGATCTCTAACCCACTAGACAGCCTTGAGCAAGGGAGGGAATCTGATCTTTCTCTGCTACAGTTTCACTTTCTGTTACAGGTCCCCTCCCCACAGCCACCCTGTGAAAGTAGAGAGCTTCTATCAGCATGCTCTTTACACTGTAGCACACCAGATTGGCTACTTGTGCTGCTTCCCTTTTACATACTGCTGTGTAAAGGCCATGTAAAGAACACTTTTTTTTTCTTACCATCTCATCTTAGTTGTTGGTATGAAAAAATAAAGGGACCAGGATCCTCATATTACATAGTTACATAGTTAGTCTGGCTGAAAAAAGACAAAAGTCCATCCAGTTCAACCATAGGAAAAAAAAAATCCTCATCATTCTTTACATCTTGGTACACTTTATTTATGTCTTCTGCACTTTTGATTTAAAGATGAGCAAAACCACATCATAGAGTGTAGGAGAGTGAAAATTTTGTAATGCCTGTAGTAATTACTTGTAATCATTGACTGACAAATATTGATAGACTGGAGAAGTGATGGCCAATACTTTGATTATTCATGAACTACTCAATTTCTAACCATAGCAATTTTCCCAAACTGCTCCATGTGGATAGTCAAAATAATACAAAGGCTGCTGCCTGGAGCCTGTAGACTTAGGACCTGCACTCGTAAAAACCTCCAAGTTGACTGACTTTGAAAAAAAAAAAAGAAATGATGCCATATTCAGTAGGTATTCTTTAGACTAGGTAGATTTTTTATTTACACATATTTCAATCAATGAAATATTCTTACACTGGCGGTTTTTAAAAGAACCTAGGTTTTGACTTTAAAGTAGAATTATGACCTCCCATTAAAAAATGTGCTCTGCCACGCTTACTAAACCGAATCTTGCTTAGTTCTCCTGCAGGGTCTTACAAATATCTGTTGATTTTGTCACCACCTCAGGAAGTTTTCTGTGATTGTGTGACAACTATGCTGTACAGCTCCCAAATTAAGAGCAGAGTTGTCACTCTCATGCTTGCTTGCACTACAGTGGGATGAGAAGATGTTGCAGCAGGCTTGGCTGTCAGCATAGTTACTGCTTGTTCACAAGCCTGTAGCTTGTCAGTCACCACCTGGCCACACCTAGTTCCATCCATTCCTTTCTGGATTGACAGAATTAACAGAATTGCCTCTGTTGTTGAAACCCTTCCACTGTGATCTGCAGTGTCTAGCCAATAAAGAACAGTGAATTGCAGTGTTTGGGAGGGGGAGTGTGTAAGGCATAAATAAAGGAGGATTTTGGCTCAAGAAGTAAAATAGTGTACCCATTAGCCAGCTATATCATGATGCCATTCAGAGACATTTACAGATGAGACTATGGTTAACCCTTTTCCCCCTAGTGCCCAGTACTGGAACTGCTACATTACTTCCTGTTAGCAGAGTGGTTCACGTTCTTCTGACAGCAGAGGATCTTTGGACCTGTAGTCCTATAGCCAATACATATTGTATTCCTAAGTGCTGATGGAACTACAACTACCAGAGAGCAGAGGAATGAGAAGGTTGCTGGGAGAGCAGATATATTCTACAGCAAGGAACTGGCTCGCTCTCTTGGTGTGGGATTCAGAGCCTAACACAGGGGGACTGCCGTTCTCCTCCAGAGACAGATTGTTTGCCTACTGCTGCGGGACTTTGCACATCAGTTCAGCACAGCGGTGACACTGATCACCATACATCTCATCAGCTTCTTTGCGTCGGGACTGACTCTATCCATTCTTCACACAGACATCTCTACACATCCCTGCAAACAGCCAAGAGCTTGGACAACACTTCTTGTCCCTGGGGGGGGGGGGCATGCTATCCATGGGAATAGTGAGTGGGAGGATGCCCAACCTCTTTCTTTCATCACTCTAGACACACTGCATGCAGACACGTTTATACCTCAGTATCAGGAGATCTTTGGTTTGAGCAGTACCACAGCCTATTTGTTTAATTTCATTGAATTGCCAGTATTCACTACTGTTTATGGGCCCCACCATTGCTAGCAGAAGACAACGGACACCACCATATCAGGACCTCTAAACATCACAGGACTCAAATTGCAATGTCTAGTTAAAGGGACCTTTTCTATTAAAAGGCTATTATTACTCAAATTAAGATACTCATATCTATTTATGTCACAGTTTACATTTACATAATTCTCTGAATCCACCATTGCGGAGCTGGTGGCCTAGAGGGAACTGATGAGTCAACAAGCCTTTTCTTCCCCCTTTTACTGCTGGTGTTGCAGTTTATTAGTTGAAGCTTACTACTCAACACTGTATAATTTGTTAAATGCTGCTAACTGCTTATTCTTATTTTACCATTATTATATTTTTAAATGTTAACTGGGGTTTTATATCCTGAACCCATTATTCTTGTGGTCTACACTTTTGAACAAGACTAATATAGAGGTGTTACTAAAGAATTGTGTCTCTTGCATTTTTCAGTCTATATTGCTTAACCACTTGCCGACCGCGCATAGCCGAATGACGGCTTCACCGCGGCCGGCCAGTTCTGAGTGGACGTCATATGACGTCCTCCCAGAACGCGCTCTCCTGCGCGCCCCAGGGGGCGCGCACCCGGCGATCTCCGTGATCGCTGTGTCCTACGGACACAGCTGATCACGAGATGTGGTGAAAGGCCGATCCCACCGGCCTTTTACCACGTGATCAGCGGTGTCCAATGACACGCTGATCACAGGAAAATGCAAGTGCCGGTTCTCGGCTGCACTTTCCTCACGCTGTCAGATCGTGAGGAAAGTACTGCCGAGAACCGGCAGTTGTCAGAGCGGGGATCGGCACCGATCATCAGGGCACTGATGATCAGTGCCCTGATGATCGGTGCCCAGCAGTGACCCCCGCAAGTTCCGATCAGCTGTGCGCCCACTAGCCCCGCCCACCCATTCCCAGCGGTGCCCCCACCTGTGCCCAGCAGTGCCCCCACCTGTGCCCAGCAGTGCCCCCACCTGTGCCACTCTGCAGTGCCACCTACCTGTGCCCAGCAGTGCCACCTACATGTGCCCAGCAGTGCCACCCACCTGTGCCCACCCACCTGTGCCCACCAGTGCCACCCACCTGTGCCCACCCACCAGTGCTGTCCACCAGTGCCACCCACCAGTGCCACCCACCAGTGCTGCCAGTCAGTGCCACCAGTCAGTGCCCAGGGGTTGTGCCAGTCAGTGCCGCCAGTCAGTGCCCAGAAGTGATGCCAGTCAGTGCCGTCTATCAGTACCCATCATCAGTGTCACCTATCAGTGCCGCCTATCAGTGCTGCATATCAGTGCCGCCTATCCGTGACCCCTAATTAGTGCTGTCTATCAGTGCCGCCTATCCGTGCCACCTCATTAGTACTGCCTATCAGTGCCCTTTAGTGCTGCCTATCAGTGCCCATCAGTGCCGCCTATCAGTGCCCATCAGTGCCGCCTCATCAACGCAAATCAGTGAAGGAGAAAAAATACCTGTTTGAAAAATTTTATAAAAGAAACAAATAAACTTTTTTTTTTTTTTCAAATTTTTTGCACTTTTTTTAATTTATAGCGCAAAAAGTAAAGCGCCCAGTGGCGATTAAATACCACCAAAAGAAAGCTCTATTTGTGAGAAAAAAATGATCAACATTTCATATGGGTACAATGTTGCATGACCGCGCAATTGTCAATCAAAGTGCGGCAGCGCTGAAAGCTGAAAATTGGCCTGGTAAGGAAGGGGGTATAAGTGCCTGGTAGGCAAGTGGTTAAATATGTCTAACCCAGAGTGTTAAAGGTGTCAGGAGTCTTTCAAGGTCAGGACAACCTCTAGAGACAAGCATTATCAAGCGGCCCCTGTGGGGGTAGCGCTACAATAGTGTTTTATTTAATATATGAAACTCTTTCATCACATAGTAACTTGATGTGAGACTTGTTACTGCCACAAATGAGCCTTTAGGTGCACTTTAAATATTATTTAAATATTATTACATATAGTTACATAGTTGGTAAGGTTGAATAAAGACACAGGACCATCCAGTTTAACGTGTGTGTGTGTGTTACTATCTCTTTCCATATTCCTGTACATTGTTTTCGCTAAGAAAAACATCTACATTTTTTTAATCTATGCAAACTCCTCACTGACAACACCAACTGTAGAAGTGAGTTCCACATCCTTACCACTCTAGCAGTAAAGAACCACTTACCCAGTTTACCATTGAATAAATTCTTGTCTAACTTTGTGTGACCACATATTTTCTTTGAAGAGCTAAAATTAAAACGTTTTCTCCCAGTCCTAGAGAAAGTGAAAATTCATCCCTAAGGCAGGCAAAAGAGTATCTGGGATTTTTAAGGGGCATGGTCTTGCATGTACTGCTTTGGCTGAGACACACAGGATCTCCCTTATATGACGGGATTTGGAAGATATTTGTAGGTCTATCCTTAGGAGGCTGTGTTTAACCCACAGAGTTTCCTTTGGGACTGCGCTTTGGCACCTGCTCTTGCTGTCCTTTCCCTCTCCTTATGTGCCAAGGATATAGTTCCTTGTGATTCCTGTGGAGTGAATACTTTGGTATATCTCACTGTCTCCAGAACACCCGTCTGCTGAAGAAGCACTTCTGCAAAATGCATTGAGATACTGGAACTTCATAGCACATAATGTCTACTGTGCTGTAATATATTACAGGTGAAAAATTAGAATGTCATGCCAAAGTTCATTTATTTCAGTAATGCAACTTAAAAGGTGAAACTAATATATGAAATAGACTCATTACATACAAAGCAAGATAGTTCAAGCTGTGATTTGTCATAATTGTGATGATTATGGCTTATAGCTCATGAAAACCCCAAATCCACAATCTCAGAAAATTAGAATATTGTGAAAAGGTGCAGAAAACCATCATTGACACCCTCTATAAGGAGGGAAAGCCTCAATAGGTAATTGCAAAAGAAGTTGGATGTTTCCAAAGTGCTGTATCAAAGCACATTAATAGAAAGTTATGTGGAAGGGAAAAGTGTGGAAGAAAAAGGTGCACAAGCAGCAGGGATGACTGCAGCCTGGAGAGGATTGTCAGGAAAAGGCCATTCAAAAGTGTTGGGGACTTTCACAAGGAGTGGACTGAGGCTGGAGTCAGTGCATCAAGAGCCACCACACACACAGACGGATCCTGGACATGGGCTTCAAATGTCGTATTCCTCTTGTCAAGCCGCTCCTGAACAACAAACAACGTAAGAAGCGTCTTACCTGGGCTAAAGAAAAACAGACCTGGTCTGTTGCTCAGTGGTCCAAAGTCCTCTTTTCTGATGAGAGCAACTTTTGCTTCTCATTTGGAAACCAAGGACCCAGAGTATAGAGGAAGAATGGAGAGGCTCACACAGCAAGATCCTTGAAGTCCAGTGTGAAGTTTCCACAGTCTGTGTTGATTTGGGGAGCCATGTCATCTGCTGGTGTTGGTCCACTGTGCTTCATTAAGTCCAGAGTCAACGCAGCCATCTACTAGGAGATTTTGGAGCACTTCATGCTTCCTTCCGCAGACGAGTTTTATGGGGATGCTGACTTCATTTTCCAGCAGGACTTGGCACCTGCCCACACTGCCAAAAGCACCAAAACCTGGTTCAATGACCGTGGGATTACTGTGCTTGATTGGCCAGCAAACTCACCTGACCTGAACCCCATAGAGAATCTATGGGGCATTGCCAAGAGAAAGATGAGAGACATGAGACCAAACAATGCAGAAGAGCTGAAGGCCGCTATTGAAGCATCCTGGTCTTCCATAACACCTCAGCAGTGCCACAGGCTGATAGCTTCCATGCCACGCTGCATTGAGGCAGTAATTGCTGCAAAAGGGGCCCAAACCAAGTACTGAGTACATATGCATGCTTATACTTTTCAGAGGTCCGATATTGTTCTATGTACAATCCTTGTTTTATTGATTGCATGTAATATTCTAATTTTCTGAGATTGTGGATTTGGGGTTTTCATGAGCTGTAAGCCATATTCATCACAATTATGACAAATCACGGCTTGAATTATCTTGCTTTGCATGTAATGAGTCTATCTCATATATTAGTTTCACCTATTGAGTTGCATTACTGAAATAAATGAACTTTTGCACGATATTCTAATTTTTCGAGTTTCACCTGCATGTATAAGATAGAATACTTCTATATCTGGGTGGCCAAATCTACAACCCTTCCCTGAGCAGACAAATGTAATGTATGCTTATGTTGATGTTTTCCTTACTCTTAATCATGTTTTACCATGAGCAAGCTAATATTGGGTTGAGTCAAGCACAATAAACTTAGTTTTTTTCACATAAAATTTGTTGCTTGCTGAAATTTTCTGAGAGACAATTCACCCTAAAAATCCCAAATATTCTTTTGCCGTCCCTAGAGACGGATGTGCACTTTCCATAGGGACAGGATATGGTAAGTGATGGCTCCAAGCAAACCCTTTTGACGTTCTCCCAATCCTTGAATCACCATTTAAAGATTTGTACATTGTGGTCATATTCCTCTTAAGCATCTCTTCTCCAGGGAACATAATTTCATGTTTGTAGTTGTTCCTCATAACTGAGGTCCTCTGGCCCCCTTATTAGCTTTGTTGCCCTTCTCTGGAGTCTCTCCAGTTCAAGGATGTCCTTCCTGAGGATTGGTGAACAAAACTGGGCTGCATACTCAAAATGTGGCTGAACCAGGGTTTTGTAACTTTTGTTTTTTTTTGAGCAAAAAAAGAATGCACAGCAAATATGAAAGAAGCAGAAAAAAAAGTAGAAAACCTTAACTTGCAAGGCAGGTTATGAAAAGTCAGAAATAAATGAAATAAATGTCACACACTAACCTTCATGGATGTGACCAAACACATGCAGTCTTGGCTGTACTCTTCTCTGCACTGTGTTTAGCAGCTCCACGCAGCCCACCCGTTGTAATTTTTTTGGCACCCAGTCTAAAAATCCTGAAAAGAGAAGAAAGTCCAGAATATTATTTCCAAAAGAACGATACATAGCAGAGATGGAAATGTTTCAGGCTAGCCTAATGACTACTAATAGAGATATCACTGAACCAAGAAGGACATGGTTCCTAATGCCAACTTGTAAAGTCCTCAGTTCATCTTAAAATTGGGCCAGACTTGTTTCTGTTTTGTCACCTGATCTATTTTTTAATAAAGTTTTAATTTTTAGAATTTTTTTTTATTATTATTTTTTTTTTAATTTTTTTTTTTTTTTTTTTATTATTGTTTATTTTTTTTTTTTTTTTAATTTATTTTTTGATTTTTTTATTTATATCCACTTATTCCCCCCCTGAGCGCCAGTGACATCCCTGCTGCTGTTCACAGGCACTTTTAACACACCTTACCATCTTTAATATATCCAGGCAAATCAAACAAGTTTGCAAATATATCATTTTACCTTTTTTCTCTTTCTCCTGCTGTCCCCAGAGAGCTGTGCCAGGATCCCCAATTGATCTGCCAGTTCAGATTTCTTTTTATAACCTGATACAGTAGTCTGCAGGTGTCTTCAAACACAGAAGTAGTTCTATCAAATACAACATCCTTGGCATCTACATAGATATACACGTTCACAGTCACCAATCTCCTGCAGTGACGGGTTAGGAGAAGTGACCCTTCTTCAGAACTCTAAGCTGTCTGTCCCCCCTTCCCTCTCCCTTCAGGTTTACTTTTGTTTAATTGTAGAGCTGCTAGCCAATGCTGTTTCTATAGATTTCTAGGACCATCATGAAGTGCTGTGGGTTCCTCTGAATCAATCAACCAGCTGGTAGTAATAGTTAACTTTTATTTAAGTGTACTAATTCTGTGAAAAAATATTGCTGCACAGAACACTGGAACAACATAAGCCAATTAGCACCTCAATGGATGAAGGTGCATGAAAGCCCACTTACATGTAATACAAATGAGCTTAGTGTTAATCATTTCTAAATAGGAGATACTTGCTCATTAGCTGTTGATAACAGAAAATAGGCCTTCTACAATGTCACATTGATATGTTGTCACTAATGGACACCTTTGTCCAGATGAAAAGATGGGAGCTTCACTTGACATTAAAGCAAAAAATAATGTACATGATCAGGCAGCAAGAAGTACCTTCCCATAGAAAAGCAATGTCCAACGTTCAGTGTGTCCTACTGCACTGCAAACATACATTTGGAGAGACTGCCCCTCTTTTAAGGCCAAATCTCTCTGTCCCTCATGCAGCCTCAGTCGTCCTTCTTTTTGGTCTGATGTATACATCTCTATACAAAATGTACAATTTTACTTCAAAAGTGTTATGCTGAACTAAACATTTTGTCCAACCTCTATATTACTTTATTTGTTATTTGTTATTCTGAAAAGCCAATATAAAAGTAGAGGTCAAAAAAGCACTTGTGTGGTTTAGCCATTAAATTTCTGTATATTAGATTTGTGGTCCATGTAACTGTAGCAGGGGTGTGGCCTTTGCCTACATACGTTGTGCTAAAAGGTGTCCCTCTTTAACATTCTAGAAAGTTGAGAGGTATACATTCATATGAGATAGATGGAAGGAGGTGTTGGTACCTCTTTCTTGTTGGTGGTGAGCTCCCCTAAGGTAAATAGTGGGTTATATGAAAGAGTGAGAGGAGTTCAGGCAAGGAGTTGAGAGAACAGGAGTGGGACTCCGAATCTGGCCCCCATGGGACATGGTGGGGCCTATTCTACAGAGATGTAGAACTTACAGCTATTGGTATTTCCCAGCCGAGGAATACCTGAAGAGGCCCTGATGTTCCGGAATTGATGGAGTTGGGGGACAGGACATAGAGACGGCCCAACCTGGGAAAGTGCCAATGACTACTACCATGTGGTGAGAAGCTGTATGCTCTGATGTTGTGTGCCTGGAAATTGTTAACTTGAAGTCATGAAAGCTAGAGCTTTAAAGTGTTACTAAACACAGGACCCTGCATTCACTATATCTGGTCTACCACAGTACACACAACATGGAAATGCAATTATTGTAGTAAATATAAACTGCTAAATATCTTTTCTCATTAGCAATATATAGCAGTCTTGTGCCTTCTATCAATGTCCAGCTGAGCACTAGTTAAAGCTTGTGGAGGAGGAATTTTGATTCTCCTCTGACTGTCCTATAAGCCTGCATAACCCCTGACCCTCAGTGCTGATTGGCTCTATGTTGATCACATGCACCATCCCAAAGTAAAAAAAAAACTCTCTAGCAATGCATGTGCAGAGTGACTCCTAGAGCTCTGTACTATCAGCAGATGGATTGAGGAGAGTAGAAGGAGAAGATCAAAGAAGACAGGATTAAACATCATTTTTACACAATGCGGAGGATTAACTCCTTAGGTTCCACAGTGTGTATAACAAGCATGCTTTACTGCATATACAGACTGATTTTTACTGTTGTGGGTTTGGTAACACCTTAAAAAAATGTATTGGACTTGCCTCTTCTTGCTACCAATGGCCTATCTTTGGAACTGGTACCTTGCTCAGGTTGAGGTGTTGGGCATGGTAATGTACATGTGCTGCTGAATGTATGGTATTTGGCTCCCTCTGGGAGTGGGGACACAAACATGAAATTAGGGCAAGAGGCCTGTTAGTGGTACCCAGAATCAAATGTTCTGCCCACATTCTTTTGGCCTTGCCTATAGATAGATAGTTAGACAGACAGACAGATACTGTAGATAGATATCAGACAGGGATAGATCAGATAGATCATCTCTACATCTATCTATCTATCTATCTATCTATCTATCTATCTATCTATCTATCTATCTATCTATCTATCTATCTATCTATCTATCTAGGATCAAGATAGGTAGCCTTCTATTGTTTCAATGCATCTTTCTTCCTCCAAGATAACATCACCAGACATATCAAACCTAGCACACACGGGTCAAATGTCGGGCTGCATCTGCCAATTCAAAAGAAACCGGCTGACATTCAGCCCGTGTGTACGGCAGCTGGTGCGTCAGAAGCCGGCCATCCAGCCGGCTTTTGTGGAAGGGCCATGACCTAAAAAGGTCAGCTGATTGACTCCCAATTAGCGCTTTCAGCCAATGGGTGACAGCCCTGACCAGAGTATTCTGGTGGGGGGCCACCCCCCATCCCCAACCCTGTCAGAACACAATAGCACAGCAGGGAAGATCTCTGTACTGACAATGGATAGTTAGTACAGAGGCTCCTCCTGAGCTGTCAGTTTTTTTCCGTTCAGCCTGCTGGGTTGAACGAAAAAACTAGTAGTATGTACCAGGCTTAAGAGTCAGATTATTTTGAAGTCTTTCATCCTCCGTTTTTCCGGTTTCTGACTAATACCTGCTTAGTTTTCAGTGCAGGAACATCATAGAATGGTTGCACTTTGTATTTATCATTCAGTTTCAGGTATGGAAAATAAAGATTCCTGACTAGACGTGCTTTAAAGAGGCCTCCGCCTGTAAATGCATAGTTTTCCAATTGAGTGGCTTAGCTGTACAGAACAAATTGTATTTCATGCTGCATGAGATAAAATTCAATACGAGACTACCCAGCTGAGCCATTCACTGTTCAAAGTTCTGAGAAGTGTTATGATGGATGTCTGCTGGGGTTTTAATGCATTCTTGTCATAATAGATGGATATTTTATGATTAATTAGCACATCACAATTTGCTCATTTACAGGTGCTGGTTGGAGATATGCCTTCTTTTAAAGAGGTCGTGTATCAAAAAGTGAAAGCGCTCAACGTAGATTGTTAAGGATCACCTTTAATGTCAGTGATGAATGTTTCAGTCGCTTTGTACACCGGTAACACAGCTCTCCAGACATGTCAATCACCAGCCTCGCAAGCCGCCAGGTTTCCTGTCAACAGTGATACACTTTAACCCGTTCTTCAGGAGAGATAGGGGAAGCTGTAGAAGGAAACTTCAGTCTGTGCAGAGAAGTGAGCCCCACAGCCAATAAGGTCACAGATGGATTGGGATCAGGTTACCGGCACCATGTTCATTCTGGTTCAGTTTCTACACCGCTCAAAAATATTAAAGGAACACTTTGAAAACACATCAGATCTCAATAGAGACAAATATCATGCTGGATATTTATATTGATATGAACTGGGAAATGATCAACCTACAGAGGACTGAATTCAAAGACATCCTGAAAATCAAAGTGAAAACATGATGCAGCAGGCTAGTCCATTTTGCAGAAATTTCATTGCAGCAACTCAAAATGGTACTCAGTAGTTTGTATGGCCCCCACGTGCTTGTATGCATGCCTGACAACGTTGGGACATGCTCTTAATGAGACAACGGATGGTGTCCTGGGGTATTTCTTCCCAGAGATCTGGACCTGAGCTCCTGGACAGTCTGAGGTGCAACCTGGCGTCGGATGGACCAAAACATGACATCCCAGAGGTGTTCTATTGGATTTAGGCCAGGCGAGCGTGGGGACCATTCAATGGGATCAATTCCTTCATCCTCCATTAATTGCCTGCATACTCTCACCACATGAGGCCGGCATTGTCGTGCACCAAGAAGAACCCAGGACCCACTGCACCAGCCTATGGTCTGACAATGAGTCCAAGGATTTCATTCCGATTCTTACTGGAGGTCAGGGTACCATTGTCTAGCCTGTAGAGGTCTGTGCGTCCCTCCATGGATATGCCTCCCCAGACCACCACTGACCCACCACCAAAACGATCATGCTGAACAATGTTACAGGCAGCATAACGTTCTCCACGGCTTTTCCAGACCCTTTCACGTCTGTCACATGTACTCAGGGTGAACCTGCTCTCATCTGTGAAAAGCACAGGGTGCCGGTGGCAGACCTGCCAATTCTGGTGTTCAATGACAAATGCCAATCAAGCTCTATGGTGCCGGGCCATAACCACGGGGCCCACTAGCGGATGTCGGGCCCTCAGGCCAACCTCATGAAGTCTGTTTATGATGGTTTGGTCAGAGACATTCACACCAGTGGCCTGCTGGAAGTTATTTTGT